TCCTTTCTTTGCATTTTTCTTCCTTGTTTCTGTTATTTCTTTTTACTGTTCCATTGCTTTTTTTTTTTTTTTGCTTCAGTCGTTCTTTTACGCTTTTCTATTTTATATTTATTGTTGCTTCTAAAGTAGTTTGATTTTTCTATTTATGACATGATATTTTATGTTTTTATTTTTTCCAACTTGTTTATAGTTCTCTTCCTCTCTTCTATTCCCTTCTTTGTCTTTTTTCAGCTTCCATTAACGTTTTCATTAATCTAGTGGGCGTTTGGACATAAGAATTGTAAAATTTCAAAATTCTTTTAAGTGAAAATGGTATTAGAAAATTAAAATCGTGTTTGGACATGAATATAATGTTGGGTTACTTTTGAATTTTTGTGAGTGATCTGAGTGAATTTTTTTTTTTTTACTTTTTTCGGAAATCAGTGTTTGGCCATAAAATTTTCAATTTTCACTTGAAGATGAATTTTGAAAATTTTCAAATTTTCAAAAATTTTGAAAAATTCCATAAAACTATTTTTCAAAATTTTCACTCAGGTCACTCACAAAAATAAAAATAACAACCCAAAATTATATTCATGTCCAAACACAACTCTAATTTTCAAAAACCATTTTTATTTTGAAAAAAGAATTCACTTTTTTCAAAATTTATAATTCTTATGTCCAAACGCCCACTTAGAGTTTTTCAAATTTTCGAATAATTCCAAAATTTATCTTCAAGTGAAAATTCCAAAATTTATGGCCAAACACTAACTTCGAAGAAAAAGAAAAAATTTTGATGGCCAAACGGGCTCCTAATCTTCTTCTTTATTCCATGCGGCACATAAAATCTTAAGCATGTCTTACAAAACTCTCCTAACTTTGGTGTTCAAAAACAGTAAAACCTCCAAATCAATCCAAACAGACAAATATTATTGGTTAGGTTCAAACATGTTGAAAACCAACTTAATTATATATATAGAGAAACTCTTTTAAAAGTTTCTCAGAATTCCATTTCCAATTTTGACCATTTTGGTAAAATATCCTGGGGAACATGACATAGTTATTAAATTTACCAGTTGTGGTTCAAGAATTTGGAAGTAGGGGTACGTTATATCCACCTGTTTTGTGCAGGTTGAGGATTGAACTATTTATTTATTGGGAGAGTGAAGTCATAGATATAGACATACACATTAAATGTTGATAGAATGGTAGTTGAGAAAATTAGATGCGTCTTATAATTTGGTGGTGGTGCCTGCTTACTAACTTCTCTACAATCCGTGCACTGCTTTTATGTTCTTTTTTATAGTATTATAATTATCAAGTATTTGAAATTTAGGGTGTGTTTGGTACGAAGGAAAATGTTTTCCATGGAAAATGTTTTCATGGAAAATGAGTGAGTTTTATCACATATATTCCCTGGTTTGGTTGGTGAGTGGAATACTTTTTCCGGAAAATATTTTTGTGTTTGGTTAGAGATTAAAATTTATATTTTATGATAGTCTCCTCACCCTCCCTCTTCTCCCAAGTCCACATGTTTCCTTGCTCCTCTCCCCCCTCCCCCCTCCCCCAAATACCTAACGTTTTTAGGACTCTATTTTCTTCAAGAATTTAATTATTCTTTTAAAAATTCACACAAAACCAACGGAACTAATGTGATACTTTATTTTTTTTAACGTAAAATAACGTTGAAATTTGTGCTCCATAGATAAAAAGAAAATACTCTCTTTTTGGTTGAAAAAATAGTACTCTTTCTATAACATGAAAATAAAGTACTCATTTTATTGAAATAAAAGAAAATACTTTTTCTACCTCATGAAAAGAAAAAATACTCATTTTTTTGAAATGAAAAAAAATACTTCGTTGAAACGAAAGAAAATACTTTTTCTACATCATGAAAAAAAAATACTCATTTTGTTGAAATGAAAGAAAATATTTATTCTACATCATTGAAAGAAAGTATTTTTTTGTTAAAATAAAAAAAAAATTATATTATGAAAAGAAAATACTCATTTGTTGAAATGGAAAAAAAAATTCTATCTATAACGAAAAAAAAAGTACTATTAATAATGTTTTTACTTAGGATGGGGGTGGGGGTGGGGTAGGTGTGGGGCCGGTAAATGGGGGGTGTGGGGGTGGGTTGGTAGAGACGGGGAATATGGTGGGGAAGGTTGAAAAAGAGTTTTGGAAAATGTTTTCCCTTCTCTTGATAGGAAAATATTTTCCTCCAATTGGAGGAAAATGAGTTGATGAGAAAAATATTTTTCAAAATATTAAGCCACCAAATATGAAAAAATTGGAAAATATTTTCTTTCATAGCAGACACACCCTTAGTGGCCTAATTAATTTAGATATGCGTTATGTAGGCCCATAGAAGGATAAAACTTTGTTTATCAAGAAAATTTTCATTTCTATTACTCAAACATATGGGTGTTTAACGGGTGGGTCGGGCCAGTCCGGGTTGGAAAAAAGGTGATCGGCCGGTTTTCAATCCAGGCCGGTTTACGGGCTATTCAAAACCGGGCTTAACGGATCCGGGTCCATCCGGGTAAAAAATGAACCGGAAGAGTTACGGGTCCAAGGGGCCGGGCCGGGCCGGGTTAGTATTTTTTTGTATTTTGTATAACTATCGTAATTTATATTAATATAAAGTAAAAATATAAAACAAAAAAATAATCTTATAAAAATGATGTTTGAATAAAAGGATGCAAAGACTTTAAAATCTTTATATTTGAAATTTTGAATATTTCATTAAGAATTTAAGATAATAGAATTCAATGAAGATGGAAAAAAATTGCACTTATAATTTGCAAGTTCCTTTTTTTTTTTTCAAACTTACTAATTAAAGTTTACATTTAACAACAACTAAATTAACGAAAAAATAGTAAAACTAAATTTTCATTGCATAGTAATACTTTAAATTAATCTAACAAACTAAAACATTAAGCATAAATACGTCTAATAATTTTAAAATAACACAAATTGTCTCAAATCAACTTAAATACGAATTTCTGGAGGACGCTCAAGACAACTCTCATATGCCTCCTTAAACAGCATGTGCCCACCCACTTTAGACGAAGATTTAAGACGAGATCACAGTTCTTGCACTTTACTTTGTGAACTTCTTCATTTTCTTCTACCACCTCAAAGTGTTCCCAAACATATGGGCGTACTCTAGAAGTACGGAGCATGATTTAACTTGAATTGAGAAGAGTTTGAGAAATGAGAGATGAGTGAAGAAATGAAGAAGATGGGGGTGTATTTATAGTTTTTCAAAGGACTAAATTAATAATTACTAAAAGTATTATTTTTTAAATAACATTGCCCAAAAAAGGACTATTCTTGCAATCAACCCGTTGTGTAACGGTCATATGACATTTAATTTTTTTTTCCAGATTTCTAGCTGTTAAACCGTTCCGGTTAACCGATTCAACAGTATTTTGTTGACCGAATTTGACCGATCCAGTTAACAGAATCTTTCTTGGTGACTAACCTAACCCCCCTAATCCAGCCCACCCGGCCCCCTAACTACCGGTCCGGCCGGTCAAGAAACGGGTCAACCCGGACCGTTTGACATGCTTACTCAAACATGAGGCTTTTGATTAAAAGTTAGTAGTAATAGATTTTAATCATCTTGTGATGATATTGCTTTTCCTCTTTGCTCCGACAATTGCTGCTATAAGGACTGGTGAACAGTTTCCTGTTGGCCTCATTACTCCTTATTTTGCCGTTTGAGAATATGTAACTGAAGTAGGTAGAAAATTCAACAAACTAATTAAAGACATTTAAGTATTATTGCATTTGTCACATTTTCTTATTTCAATCTTTGTCCATTTAAAACATATATTGAATAACCAAAGAACATATTTTCTCCTTTCATTATTTTCTTATTAGATCTCTTTAAAAAATGACATCCTTTTAAATTTAAATACAATTTAACGTTCATACATTTCATTTTTACCATTAATATCACACTTTATTATCCATAGAATTTTCAAGATAGTTTGAGATCATAAGTTTTAAAAATATTTATTTCCTTATTAAACTTGATGCCCAATTAAATTATGGTATATAAATTGAAACAAAAGGAGTACAAAATTAGATACTCCAAAAAGCCTGGCCAGAACCATAGGTACAAATTTCTCTACATAATGTATTACTCATCTGTGATAATTTTTTTTAAATTTTGGCGAACTAGATACTTAGGGAAAGTGAAGATATCAATCCCGAAATAAAATTTAAAATTATATTTATTCCATATTTGATTATGAGTATTAATTAATACAAGCATAAATTATATACCAAAATGATGGTACTAAAAGGTGGGATAACTAATATCCTTGTCTATCCACCAAATGATACTTTATTTTGAGCGACATTTTTTGCCATTTCCAATTTCAATATACACTCACATCATTTTTTATTTCCGGATTGATAGAATACTATTCCAAGTTGAAATTTCATGCCGACAATGTAGTATTTGTATAATAGAATTAAACTTATAACATAGTTACAAATAAATTTTCATGATAACATTAATTAGTAACTAGGTAAAAATAGTTATTAACCTACTAAATGAATAAGTTAAAATACATTGATGATAGGTGGTGAAATATGAATGCATTAATTATGGCAAACGGATGGGTCGGATCGGATGTGAGCAGGGTAATTGAAAAAACGGATAAATTATCCGACCCGACTCATATTTAATACAGATAAAAAACAGGTTATCCGTCGGATAATATAGTATATTATCTATGGCTTATTGAATATGATCACTCTTGGTAGAATTCCTAATCTTCCAACCTTGAAAAGGCCCCAATTTGAACCTTCATAAATAGAAAAGTTAAACACATTAGTTATCCGTTGGTTATCCATTTTTAAGTGGATAATATGGTTCTTATCCATATTTGATTCATTTTCAAAATGTTTATTATCTAACACAATTTTTTAATAAATAATATGGGTGGATAATCATTTTATTTTTAACCATTTTGCCATGTATATACAAAAATGGTAGAGAAGATCATAACAAAAATTAGAGAAGACAGACAAGGAGGGAAGAGTTTATTTGTAACGGAAAAGCCACAAAATCACCGTATTATAAGCACAATATACGGTGCTTTGAACTCTACCTAATAGCAAGACCACCGCCATTTTTCCCACTCAAAACTAAGATCACAGCAGAGAAATTGAGGTCGTGATGGTTGGACCACAGAGGCCACAATTCGTTCTATTTGGATCCTCCATTGTTCAGATCAGTTACAGCAATGGCGGTTGGGGTTCCATTCTCTCCGACATTTATGCTCGTAAAGTATGTTTCCCTTTTTGTGTGTGCCTTTTACGTGTTAATGTGTGTGTGCTGGTGTTTTGTTCGATTGTTTGTAAGTCATGATGATTCAGATGTTTGATCATTTCATGGTAATTACTCTGTGAATCAATTTACATCTCATTTTTGTTCAGTTTATACTTCTATTTGTGCATCCACATTCAAGAATTTTTTAGTTTATGGAAAGGTCCAAAAGAACTAGAGGGCGGAAAAGGGGAAAGAGGCTAAAAAGTTTTATGTTTAGCAATTTTGTTTAAATACACTTGTTTTCTGGTTTTAATGGTAGAGTTATTCCCATAGAACGCCATAGTAAGGGCTTTGAAAAAGTTCACATTTGGCTTGAAAAAACAACGTTACTATTTCAATAAAATTAATCTGAGATAAAAAGAAGAATACACCGATTATATTTATATGCACCAATTATAAAACTTAGAAATCAAAAGCATATCAATCTTCTTGCAAGTGAGGAAGGAGATTGCTTTATCAACAATGTCATCAGTCACCCCTGCTTGAGTTGCATAATTTTTGTTGCATTAAAAATGAAACGAATTTTTTGAAGCAGCTCTTCGACTGTTCGCCCTAAAAATGTGTGTTCTAACTGTGATTAGTCTTAGTAGATTATGGGCATTGATACCCACAATAAGTTGAAATTATGAGGTTGTAATTAATATGTCTTTGTGCTGCAGGGTGTGTATGTTTTCCAGTATACTCAAATATCTAAGATCCTTTTCTCAAGTGAATCAAGTACTTTTTCCATCAAAAGTAAACCTAGTTGTCTGTCAGTAAAGAGACACTATAGCAAATTATATTTCCAATGGCTAAATAACTCTATTACTAATGAAGAAACCCGGGATTATAGATATCCACAATGATTACCAAACTACTTCCACACTTTGTTTAAAATCTTACAATTCTTTCCTTTCATGATGTTAAGAAATTACTTTTGAAAAATGTCTTGTGCTTCTGACGTTTCTTACACTTAACTGAAGTCTTATATCAATTAGCCAGTAAGGTGCCACATTCTTTTTAACGAAATATCTGCCTGCAGAGGAAGACTACTACCCAAATCAAGCATCCTCATCTCATAATGTTTTTTTTCTTTTTACTGATCTGCAATAGTAGGTATTCTTGCTAGATAGTTCTTCTTTTGGTTATCATAGAATTTTGAATGTTAAATTATGCATATCTGGTTTTTCTTATCATTGGAATCTTAGCCTTTCCAGCATTGTCCGTTAAGTGATTTTCTTTGAAGTTATTACCCGAAATATAACAGATAATTTCAGATGATGTGAATCTTATGACTCCAAAACTGCTTTGTTTGTTTCGTTCTGATATAGACTACAAATTACCTAGGGAAATTTGAGTGCTCTGTTGTTGTGATCTTAACAGTGCTTATATTGAGGTTTTTCAGGTTCAACATTTACTGTAAAAGTACTTCTTTCACAAAGTTGTGTCTCATGCACTAACAAATTTTGGCAAGCTAGTTTATATCACAGTTATATTCACTTAAGCAGTGCGTCTTGGCTTTGTTGAGATTAGAGAGTAATACCTTCTAATCTACTGTAGGCAGACGTAATATTGCGAGGTTACTATGGTTGGAACTCCAGACGTGCTCTACAGGTCCTTGATCAAGTATTTCCAAAGGTATTGCTTCTCCCCAATATCTCTTCAGTGTGAAATTCACTTAAAACGTTAAGCATAGCTTGTTACATAAGTGCTTACGTGCTCCCTCTGCGTTATTTCTTCTTTTATTATCAGTGAAAAGGATGCTTAATACTGCTGTTCAAACAACCTTTTCTACGAAATGTATGCAAGAAATAGTGCTATTTGCATAGAACTTAGTAGTACCTTTTGGTTCACATCATCTACAAATCAAAAGCTCATCAAGGTCTCTTCTTGGATTGATATCGTGGAGTTTTTAAGAATTGACAATTTCCTATAGAAAATTACCTATCAAAAAAAAGGAAGAAGAAAGGAGAATAAGAATCTCCGATAGCAAACCCATCTATTTGTGCAATCACTCTAAGATCTCATCTGGATATCTGATATTGGGAGACACTTCCAGTATACTAACTTTTTACTTCTCGATGGTGTTTTTCCTCTTCCAGGATGCAGCTGTTCAGCCCACATTGGTGGTTGTTTACTTTGGCGGTAATGATTCAATGGGACCTCATTCATCTGGATTAGGTCCTCATGTACCTCTTCCAGAGTACATTGAGAACATGAGAAAAATTGCAACTCATCTTAAGGTAGCTTATTTTACTACAGGAGTTTCTTTTTTCTTTGTTTTCGACCCACAGTTTCTATTCTTATCTGGAAACACATGAATGGTTAGCTGGTTCAAGACAACACAAGACCTTAAAGATATAATGTTTTAGAAAGCTTTAAATTATTTCAGTTATATAAATTGGGTTTCACTTGTGTAAACGAACTACGGTGATTATTGATCCCTGGTTTCTTTTCTCGTTTTCTTTTTGGTGGGGATGATTAGAGCCTCTCAGAGAATATTCGCATTATCTTTCTCAGTTGTCCACCTGTTGATGAGGCCAGAGTTCGTGAAAATACAAGGTAATTCAATGGCCATCATCAGTGTCATCTTATCTTTTTATGTACTTGTTTCCAAGTTCCATTCTTTGAACAGCATTTTCCCCTTTTTCTTATTACTGGGACAAGTTTGTCATCTCTTTTGCAAACAGTTCATACTTCAGTGAGTTGGTTCGGACAAATGAGTTGTGTCGACAGTATTCGGAGGCCTGTATAGAGCTGTGTAATGAGATGAATCTGAAGGTTGTTGATCTTTGGACAGCACTTCAGAAAAGGGAAGATTGGTTGACTGCTTGCTTTACGTAAGTCCATCTATCTATCTGTTGTGCGCTTTGTTTATCTACCAAATTGAGAACATCTGCGTTAATCTAATCTGTTTTGTTTCCCTAAATTTCAGTTACTTTCATATCTTATTGTGTTTTATCAAGATGAAAATTAGCTTCCTTTTATATTTAATTGGCTTATCCTAGACTGCCCCTTGGGGTGCAGCCCTTCCCCGGACCCTGTGAGAACGCGGGATGCCCCTTTTTATGCCCTTGTCCTAGACTCAGATTTTCTTTTTTTATGCACCTTCAAATATGGTTTCTGCAATTGTTTGGAAGATCTGGTTTGATATCTTCCAGTGTGAGCTGAATTGCTGCTGTCACATGGGAAAATCTTTCCCCATTAGATGTGTGCTGTTTATTAGCATCACCCACGGAAACTGAACTTCCACTATTGTCTCATGGCTCTAGTTATGCTTTCTAAATTACTCCATAGGATATCCTGAATTAGTTTTTGAAAGTGCTATACATGATGGCTCTGGTATACAAGTTCTAGCTGGATCAGAGTATTTTATATTTGTAGTTTGTGCAGGAATGCTGAGTTATGTTCACTACACTACAGTATTTTTTTGGGTAGTCATCAATATCTGCGTCCTGGAATCTTGATTGACACACAAGGTAGAATATTGTCTCCGTGATTATAGGGCAATCGTTTCTCCATTGCCCGAATCACAAGTCTCTGATTGCTTCAATATTTCGATGTGCCTTGATCCCCATTTTTCTGAATGCACGGAAGAAACACTGGTGTGTGTAGCATAGTTTTACTAAAATAACTCTATATCTCAGTATCATGTAGAGACTCAAAAATTATGAAGGAAGAGGCTTTTGCAAATTCCATCCTATCATGTTTAAATACGTCCTCAGCTAGTTGTTGTTGTTGTTGTTTTTTTTTTTCTTTTTTTTTTTAAAAAAATTAAATAGGGATGGGATTCACTTGGCGGAGGCAGGGAGTAAAATAGTTGTTGAAGAGATCATCAAGGTATTGAAGGAAGCTGAGTGGACACCTAGTTTATACTGGAAATCCATGCCAACAGAATTTGCAGAAGACTCACCTTATGATTTAGTTCTTGCGGATGGCAAAACCACAATAAACCCATCCGAGTGGACATACCATCGAGAAATTCAATGGGATTAGATTTCCCTTTGTAAGCTTTTGCATTATTGAAACATAAAGAATGTATATGCATAAAACTTGGGAGTGAAGTTCAGAATTTACTTTTTTTTTTGGCTAATAGAACTTACCTTGTAATGGTGTAATTGCAGTTTCTCTTGTCTCTAAGAAGATATAGACATATAGTGGTAGTTTCTTTCTCATTCGAATGGTAAACTTTTAGATTTTTTTCCTTCTTAATTCTTTATTCATAGTAAATTACATTAGGTTAATAAATTTAATTTTTGAGCTGCTAGTTGTAAATATATTGTGAGATCGTGTGATTATAACTAGGGCGAATGAGTTTTGTTCCTCAAGTTGCCTGCAGTAACGCATACTCAAAGGAGGTTATATTCCTTGTAAAATGTTTTGGAAAAAGGTGTTGAGTTGAAATAGTTCTACTAAACGAGAATCTTTTCAGTGGTTTTCTCCCCTAGGACTTAAATTTTTAAATATTATACAACAACAACCCAGTGACTTCCCACAAGTAGGGTCTGGGGAAGGTAGAGTATATGTAGACCTTACCCGTACCCCGGAAAGTAAAGAGGCTGTTTCCGAAAGATCCTCGGCTCAAGAAGTCAGTACTTTCAATAGAACCATAGGAACAATAGCAACATCATAAGAACCAAAAAATATATGATAAACAATAACAAAACCTAGTGAATAAGGCTCGGTACTATGAAAAACGGAAGGATAGAGTGGACACAATAATAATCGCTAGCAGCCTAGGACAAAACCTTATCAGACCAGCCCTCCCACCCGGAACGAAGTAGAAAAATGCTCAGCTACCTCCTAACCTACTATCCTAATGCTCGACCTCCACACCTTCCAATCAAGGGCCATGTCCTCGGAAATCTGAAGTCACGCCATGTCCTGCCTGATCACCTCTCCCCAATACTTCTTACGTCGTCCTCTCCCTCTTCTCGAAACCCGCCAAATCCAACCGCTCGCACCTCCTGACCGGGGCATCTAGGCTTCTACTTCGCACGTGCCCGAATCATCTAAGCCTCGCTTCCCGCATCTTATGATCCATAGGGCCACACCCACCTTCTCCCGAATATCTTCATTCCTAATCTTATCCATCCTAGTGTGCCCGCACATCCACCTCAACATCCGCATCTTTGCTTACTTTCATCTTTTAGATATGTGAGTTCTTAACTAGCCAACACTCTGCCCCATACAACATGGTCAGTCTGACCACCACTCTATAAAACTTACCTTTGAGTTCGGTGGCACTTTCTTGTCACACAGGACTCTAGATGCTAACCTCCATTTCATCCACCCCACCCCTATACGGTGTGTGACATTCTCGTCGATCTCCCCATCCCCTTGGATAACCGACCCAAAGTACTTGAAACTGCCTCTCTTGGGGATGACCTGTGATCCAAGCCTCACGTCCAAGCCCGCTTCTCTCGGCTCAATGCTGAATTTGCACTCCAGGTATTCTGTCTTAGTCCTGCTCAACTTGAAACCCTTAGACTCAAGGGCCTGTCTCCAAACCTCCAGCCTCTCGTTTATGCTGCCTCGCATCTCATCAATCAGTACTATACCATCAGCAAACAACATACACCATGGCACCTCCCCTTGAATATGTCGTGTCAGTATGTCCATCACCAGAGCAAATAAGAACGGGCTGAGCGCAGATCCTTGGTGTAAATCCATACAACCGGAAAGTGCTCCGAGTCGCCTCCCGCAATCCTAACTCGAGTTTTAGCTCCAACATTCATGTCCTTAATCTCCCTAATATAGGCAACCGACACTCCTTTTGCCTTCAGGCATCTCCAAAGAATCTCCCTAGGGACCTTGTCTTACGCTTTCTCTAGGTCAATAAATACCATGTGCAGATCCTTCTTCCTATCCCTGTACTGTTCCACCAGCCTCCTAATAAGGTGGATCACGTCCGTAGTCGAACGACCCGACATGAACCCGAACTGGTTGTCGGATATAGACACCGCCTCCTCACCCTCACTTCCACCACCCTCTCCCATACTTTCATAGTATGACTTACTAACTTGATACCCCTATAATTGTTGCAACTCTAGATATCACCTTTGTTCTTGTACAACGGTACCACCGTACTCTCACTTCACTCACTTCACTCATCCGGCATCCTCTTCGTCCTGAAAATAACATTAGATAGCTCGTTCAGCCATTCCAAGCCTACTCTACCCACACACCTCCAGAATTCCACCGGAATTTCGTATGGCCCGGTTGCTCTGCCCCTACTCATCTTATGCATAGCCCGCACGATCTCCACAACCTTAATGCGCCTACAGTACCCAAAGTCCCGGTGACCCTCGGAATGCCCAAATTCACCTAGCACAATATCCCCGTCCCCTCATTCTAGCTAATAGAAAGAAACTAGAGTGAGCAATTTTATGTGCTAAAGCTGTAAACAGTGGAGAAACAAAAAGAAATAAATAGTCAGATTTTTGAACGTCAACTAATTCTTTTTTGAGTTAATACTACATGGTATTTTTTTCATCAGAAAAAGAAGTACCAAGAGATCATTTGTCGTTCCTTTCCTGAGTATTATAAAACACTAACTGCTCAACCTCTTTGGTCATTCAATGTAGTAGCTTAGTCTGTCCATTTGAATGTCAAGCTCCCATTGTTACATTACCACTTATCAGCCAGTGTGGTAAATCAGTGTTGCGTTGATGGTCTAAGTCTAGGATTTGATTCCTGTTCAGATTCAGAGCAGACTATATATCTGAAATTTTCTTACTGAAATTATTTAATGCCAATGTGGATAGACTAAAACGTGTTTGTTCTAGTAAGAGTGCTAAACAAATGTATGATAGGAGAATATGGATACGTCCAGCTATATATATATATATATATATATATATATATATATATATTATTATATATAATTTATCATATAATATATATATATATATGTCACGATTGGATTTTCCACCCTCGGGAGTCGTGATGGCGCCTACTCGTAGAAGCTAGGCAAGCCACGATCTTAGGAAATCATCAACACCTTTTTGTTTTTAGTTCCTTTTTAACCAATTAAATTAACAGGGAATAAACAATTAATAACAGCGGAATATGAATTTAGCGGAAGTCTTAATTAAAAATATAAAACTAAAATATCCTGAAGACCAAACACATGCCTCTAACCAGAACCTAGTGTCACAACATCCACGGACTATCTAGGATTACAACAAATAAGTGTTTGAAGAAAAGAGCATAGTCTGTCTCGAGTACAAATGACAACAGAACATAAAAACTGATAGAAGAAGACGCCGGGCCTGCGGACGCCCAGCGGGCTACCTCGGAGTCTCGGTGAACTGAAGGATAGCTCCCAATCTACTGCTGATAGATCAAATGCCTGCCCGGATTCTTGCACCCACAGTTGACAGAGTGTAGTATCAGCACAACCGACCCCATGTGCTGGTAAGTGCCTGGCCTAACCCCGGCGAGGTAGTGACGAGGCTAGGACCAGACTCCAGATAAACCTGTGCAGTTATATATATATACAGCGGAAAAATAAACAAGAATAAACAGTTTAAGTGGGAGGGGAACATGCTTCGGGGGAATAACAGATAAAGCAAAATCTCAAGAGAATTAAGGAAACCAAAATCCACTCTTAACAAGAATAAGGAAAACAAAAACAGATTTCACTTTCTTTTCAAATCTCGTTGCAGGCGTGCAACCCGATCCCATTTCTCATATCTTGCGGTAGGCGTGCCACCCGCTCCCATTTCATTATATCTCGTGGTAGGCGTACCACCCCCTCCCATTTCACTATAACTTGTGGTAGGCGTACCACCCGCTCCCATTTCATCATAACTCGTGGTAGGCGTACCACCCGCTCCCATTTCATCATAACTCGTGGTAGGCGTACCACCCGCTCCCATTTCAAGTCAACAGAAAGTCACAATAAAATTCCGGCAAGGGAACCAAAAGCAACATAATAATAATTTCCCGGCAATGGAACAACAATATCAAAACAACCATCCCGGCAAGGGAGAATCAGCTATAACCAATCCTAGCTCAACTCTTACTCAGCTCAATTAATACCAGTACTCAAGCATAAATAAAGTCCACGAGAATAAACTAAATCTTTACTCAATATCAAGAGTCATCAATTTAAAGCATCCGAAGTGTCATTTAAGAACACAACAACTATCAATTTAAGACTCACGGTCATGCTCGATAGCAACGTATAGATACTCATCACCATGCCTATACGTCATACTCAACAAGAAGCAATTAACAAATATGACTCAACTCCAAATGAAAATTCTTTTAAAGAAAGAGTTAGACCGGACACTTACCTCAATGCCATGAACACAACTCAAGTCTCAATTATAACTTTACCCCTTGATTCCACCGCCAATTCGTTCGTATCTAATCACAAATTACTTTCTTACATCAATAAACGCTAAATGAATCAACCCCAATGCATGAAAATGAGTTTTTCAAAGTTTTACCCAAAAAGTCTGTTGGCCCAAGTTCAGGTGAAGTTTTGAAGAATGACAAATGAACTTAGTCATGGACCAGGTCCATCATGTGAGGCATAGTGTTTATCAACCTATACATGTGAGATACACGTGAAGGAGATAAGTCAGTGATCAAGCAGCAATATCTCCTGAACTGATCGAAAAGGTTGCATATTGGATAAGGAGTGAAAGTCTCCTTATGAGAAGAGAACACAATCCGGATAAAGGATAGGGTTGGAGTTTGTGTTGTTCAAGGACTCAACTTCGATGGAAGATCAGCAATTGAGTTTTAATCAAACTCTAATTACTAACTCATTAAATAACTGTGATTGTTCTCTTTTACAGGATTGCACAAACGCAGAAGTTAAACTAAATTGAGAGCAAAAGAGCGAGGCAATTTTGCAAGCAATTTATGTGAGATTCAAGTGTGCATTCCTGAAGCTAATTGGACAAGATAGAAGAACCAATTCCATTGTGTCTTTCTTTTATTCTAGTTCAATTGTAGTAGGTGATTTAAACTTGTACCTTTCAGCTTTCATAGAAGCAATTGTATTAGGTACTTTGAGTATTCAAGTTAGAGTTAACTTGAAGTTGTCGCAAACAGCTGAGGCTGTGTGCCACAACGGGATTAGAGTTTAATCCTTAGGTTTACAAGAGTTTTGTAAATGCTGTTTTGGCTCAGTGATTTTAGTAGAAGTTTGGAAAAA